GAGAGAGAGAGAGAGAGAGAGAGAGAGAGAGAGAGAGAGAGAGAGAGAGAATGATATACAGAAATAATAAATTTATAAATTAAATTAAAAACATTTGAATACAAAGCTTTATTGCTAGAATAAAATGTGAAAATTATTTTCAAATAATAGTTTAGATTTATATGAATTTTAAAATTATTATGAAATCTCAATTCAATTTTTAGATTTGAAATGATTTAACTCGTCGTTTGATTCGTAAACCTGATTGCAAACAAAATAAATTGCATTTAAAAGTATCCAATAATTAACTACAGAACAGATTATAAACTTTTAATTGCATTGTTTTCATGTAAAATGTTTTGAATCTGAAATTAATTTTAAAAATTTTGTTTCAAAAAATAACAATTGATTTTGTAATTAATTTTAAAATGAATTCTATTTGCGATTCGTCTCAAAAATATTGTCTGCATTTGAATCAGCATTTAATCCGTTGATGTGATCGACAAAAGAGTTTGGATTTCATCACAACTTCTCTTCGACTAAAATATTAACACTTTTTGTTATTTTTATGTTTAGACGGAATTCAAAGACAAGAGAAAGGAATCAAAGTTTAAATGAGATCTCAGAGAAGAGCAAAGAAGGATCGGTTAGACATCACTCGAAGGATTTGCCATCGCTTTCATCGGTTGGACAACACTTAAAGTTATGGTCCCGAGTATTACAGACACCGAGTGCTACGCAATGGTCGGGAAAGGGATACCAAGTGCTGGCGTTTCTTACGGAAAGACATCGATTGCATGGTTTGGACACAAGAAGCAGAGGAAAGAGTGGGCATTGAATCCATCGGTTTTACAGCACTTGAGGTTATGGTCACCAGTATTACAGACACCGAGTGCTATGTAATGGTCGGGAATGAGATATCAAATGCTGGCGTTTTGTTAGATATTGTCATCGATTGCAGGGTTTGAGAACACGAAGACAGTAGTGGAGGGATTGGCCATTAGATCCAACAGCTGTTCAGCATTTGATGTTATGGTCCGAGTATTACAAACATCGAGTGCTATGTAATCGTTGGGAAGAGGTATCGAGTGTTGGGGTTTTACTATGGATTGGAATCGATTCCATGGTTTGAACACTAGAAGTAGAGGAAGGGTTGGGCGATCTTCTAGTGTCCAAATCATGCAATCGATGACAATCTGTAGTAAAACCCCAGCACTTGATATCCCTTTCCTGACCATTACACAGAACTCGGTGTCTGTAATACTCGAGACCATAGCTTCAAATGCTTTACAACTGTTGGATCTAATGGTCGATCCGTTCACTGCTTTCTTCGTGTTCCCAAACCATGCAATCGATGACAATCTCTAATAAAACCCCAACACTTGATATCCCTTTCCCTACCATTACATAGCACTCGGTGTCTGTAGTATTCGATACCAGAACCTCGAGTGCTGTACAACCGATGGATTCAATGTTCAGTCTTTCATCTGTTTCTTGTGTCCAAATCATACAATTGATGTCTATCTGTAAGAAACGCCAGCACTTGATATCTCTTTTCAGACCATTACATAGCACTCGATGTCTGTAATACTCGGGAACATAGCTTCAAGTGTTGGGTTTTATTACAGATTGGAATCGATTCCATGGTTTGCATCGAAAATAATGTCAACACAATTGGGAAAAATGTAAGTTTTTAACACTTTTTATTTTTATATGAAATGCAATCTCTTTTGTCGATCACATCAACGGATCAAATGGTGATTCAAAAAACGGACAAATATTCGGTATTACTTGAGGTATAAATGTTTTTGTTATTTATTTTTGTTTTAATCATTAAATTTCAAACTTTTGTAGACTCAAGGATTGGACCCGAGATTCAAACATAATGGCGATTGTCATCACAATTGGTCAGCGATTGGCACCAAAAGTAATGGTCTATTAATGG